CTGATTGTCACACTAAGGAGGATGCACCTGGCATCTGGGGGACAGAGGCCAGGGGAGGATGCTCTGCATTTTGGTGTACAGGATACCCTGCAGTCATCCAGGCCCAGTGTCAGTCTTGCCTCAGGTTGAGGAGTCCTGGTCTGGCAGCCTGAACACCAGGCAAGGTAGTCTGGCCTTCCTCACGAAGGCAACAGGGTGGCAACTAGGATGGCTCGGAGTAAGGGGCGCACCATCAGCTTGAAGTTCAGGAAACCCATTCTGGGATCTAGTTCCAGTCAAGCCTGCGTAAGGGAGAGGCTGAGCCACAATAGGGACTGTGGGCACCATGCCAGGGATGTGGTCACTAGCTGGGGAGGGAGTCAGGGGGCAGTGGGCTGCTCAGCCCCGTGTGGCCTGATGGGCCCCTTGGTGGGCAGCCCTTGAGCTGTACTGCTGCACACGGGGTGTGATTGGCAAGTGATTGTTTCCTTATTAATTTATAGATACTCAGCCATGGCCATGGCAGCATAACCAGGAATGGCCCTTGTAGGTGGGGCTCTGGCCTATGGTTGACCTTATTCTCTCAGCGCCTTCCCCCTGTGAAGTTGGCACAGCTCTTCCTGGCAGGCAGACCTCAGAGCCATGTCCCTGCAGGGACTGGGAGGTCAGCTCAGGTGGCAGATGAGCAGGCTGTCCTGTCCTAGGGCCACAGGAAGCAGGGCTTTGCAGGCAGACCCTTTTCCAATACGTAGTGCCTCTGGCTCACTTGGTGCTGCTTCCTGTGCCTGTCAGGCAGAGTGACAGTCTGTAGAGCTCACAGGCAGCTCTGGACAGCTGTTTCCTGGCACTATAACACATGTACAATGAGTAGTGTAGCATAATTGGAACCAAAAGTCATTATGTTAGGGGTCTGTGGATGAGTGTTGGCCAAGCACCTGTGCCCAGCTTCCGGGGGCACTCTGACCCATAGGGCAGCAGCAAGGGCTCCCCAGGTAGCACTGTTGGCCCTCCCATGCCCACGCACTACTCCCTGTCTGGCTCTTGCCCCTCAGCCAGTGGAGGAGCCAGCTGGGCCCTTCCCCTCCTGTCCCCTCTCCTTCCTGGACAGGTAAGTGAGGGCAAGGGGGGGCACACTGGGGACTGGGGTCACCAGCCTCACCCCAGGTTCCCCCAAGCCCCAGTGGGGGGGAGGCTGGGAGGTGCAGGGGGAGCCAGCAGGGATTGTGCCGAGGAACAACACTCTGGGTGCCCGGCTGGGGGCACCCGCTCTCTGCCTGTGGGGCCCTCCCTGCCCACTCGCCCGCGGCCTCATCACTCTCTCCTCTTGTCTCGTAGCTTCCGCCCTGCGCTGCCAGTCTCCTACCTGCAGGCCGAGCTGGCCTTCGAGGGCGAGGCCGCCTGCCGGGCCTTCCTAGAGCCCCTGGGCCTGGCCTACACGGGCCCGGACAACTCCAGCATCGACTGTCGCCTCAGCCTGGCGCAGCTGCCAGCCTTCTGAGCACCCAGCGAGGATGGGGCGGGGGCAGGGGCTGGGGCCCCCAGTGCCACCTTTGCGGATTTTGTTTTTGAGCCATGGACTTGGGTTGTAAATTAATTTGTGGGGAGTGGGCTCCAGGAAGAGCCGCCATCCCTGCCCCCGTTTCCCACCGGGGAGTCTGTACAGAGATTTTTCTACATTTTTATTTTTTGCCTCAGAGGGACGGGTTGGGGAGGGGGGGCCATGGAGGTTGGGGACATGGTCTGCAGGCTTGTCTGTCCCCTTTTCACCTCCACTAATGCTGTCTCAGTGTTTTTTCTCTCTCTCTTTCGAGCTTCTACTCCGGTACCCGACCCGGCGCGCTGGCCCATCCCATGCCGGGGGGCCAGCGGAAAGAAGACAGGCCGTCCAGCCCGCGCCCGCCTGCAGTGGGGTCACCAGCATACCAGCCCACGCCCGCTGCCTCGTCTGCCTCTTCACAGACTCTTGTTGCCCAGCCCTCTGGGGCCTCAGTGTTTTGGGGTGAGGGGAGCTGCTTAGAGACTATGCCCCGCCCTTGGCCCCTCACCCCAGAAATGCCAACGCCATCATCTCCTCCACCACCACCACCAGACCAGCGCCACCACACCGCACTGAGGACTCCGGAGGCCATCGCGGGACCTGCCGGCCGGGCCGCCTCGTCTCAAGTTGTATTAAGTTGTCTCCGTGTCCCCTCCTTCCTCGCCCCCAATGTTTCTTCTGATTTTTTTTTCCCTTTCCCTCCCCTCCTGCTCCCAGTCCTCCCTGGCTCAGCACAGGTAAACCGGTCACCCTCCCTCCCTCCCGCCTTCATGGATCACCAGCTCACGTCATGTTTCCTTCTCTTTTCTTTGTGTGTGTGTTTATTTAAGTTATTTTTTCTTCTTCCTCCCCTTTTCTTTTCGGTCCTCCCTTCCTCTTCTGCCATGTAACTGGAGGATGTGCTATGAGTTTGCAAACAGCTGGACTGTCAGGCTGCTTTTTTTCCAGATGTCCCTCCTCTGCCTCCCTCCCCTCCTTCCCTTCCCTTCCCCTCCTTCATTCTTTCCTTGGAGCACTGAGCACCATTTGGAAGCTTGAGAGATACCAAAATTAAACAGAGAGAGAGAGCACAACCCCACAAGCACTGTCCTTTCTGCCTGGCCTGTGTCCCCCTTCACTGTGTGGCCCCAGGGGTATGTCAGCTAGGGACTGGTAGGTGCTACCTGCCTTCCCCATGCGGCACAGCCAGACTCGCCCCAGGGGCTGGCTCTGCAGCTCTTGGTCCAGGCTGAACCTGGGCTCTGGGAGGTGGACTTGGGAGCCATGGGGCACCTTGGCCAGGGTGAGGTGGGGATGTAATCCCCCCGGGGGCCACAGCACTCTCAGCCCCTCTGCCTCCAGCCTCTGGCTGAGCACGTGGGCCATGCCTTCCAGTGTGGGGGACGGTGGGGCACAAAGTACATGGTGGCTCAGGAGCACTAAGTCTTTAAACTGAAGCTGCCGGGGCGCTTGAAGCCCTGGGGCCAAGAGGGCCCGTCTCAGAGCCCCGACTGCGGCTGCCTCCTCCCCTGGGCCTGCCAGCCGCAGAAGGGCCAGTGTCAGGTGCAGGGCATGTGTGGGCACCAGGAAGGCAGCACAGGACGGGTCGACTTGGACCAGGCGCTCCTGGGCTTTGGCTACTTCTGCCTGTAGCCCCAGATCGCTCAGCATGAGGGCCACGAAATGTGTAGGGCGGGGTTGGCGAGGGGCCACAGCTCTAGCTGGCCAGTCCCTTTCACCGTCCTCTGGCCAGTCCTCTACACCCCACTCCATATCCATCTCCCCAACAGACATTCCTGGGGCTGCCGGCGACTGCACCTCCCTGCTTGGTAGCATTGTGGCTCCGGGGGGCGCTATTGCCTTCAACGCCCCTATTGCCCTCTCTGTTTCTGCGAGATGCCTCCTCGGGACTGATGGTCCCGCGTCGGTGGTCCCGCTCGGCCGCGGCTCCGTGGCTGTCTCGCACTCTCTTCCGGGTTCCTCCAGGTCGGATTCCCGGAGCTCCGTCCAGTCCGGGTTTCTGCTCGCTCCCTCGGGAGCAGCCTGGCTCTCCCGCCCCGCTGGGGCCTCGCAGGTTCTCTCGTGGTCCGGGGTCTCCTGTGCGTCCTCGCCATCAAGTGCGTCCAGGATGGTGGGGCCCCGGCCGGCCGCTGATCCCGAGCCGAAGACGAGGTCGGTGCGCGAGGCGCGGTCCCACACCAGGCGGCCGCGGAAGCGGAAGTAGCGCACGCGGTGCTGCGGCACGGCCAGCACGCCCGGCCCCAGCGCCGCCAGCGGCTCGTCCCAGCAGAAGGCGCTGAAGGGCTCCTCGCGCACACCCAGGAAGCGGTCGACGTAGCCCACCGAGAAGTCGGCGGGGTCGAGGCGCGGGTCCCAGCGGATGCGCTGGATGACGGCCGCGGCAGTGCGCATTGGCGGCTTCTTGGTCCCCGTCTCCGGCTCTGCCCCGCGGCCAGGCGGCGCCTGGGCGCCGGGGTGCGGCTGGCGGCAGCGGGCGCCGAAGCGACAGCGGCCCTCCAGGAAGAAGCGGCAAGCTGGCGGGGATGCGGGGTCCTCGCTGGCGCCCTCCGGCAGCAGTCCTGGCTGCCCGGCCATCACCGTGGGTGCTGAGGTCTCAAGGGATCCCTGCTGGCACGGCGCCGCGCTGGAGTTTGGCTCTAGCCGCTGGCGACCGCACCACACCCGGTACCTTAGCCCCGGTTGTCCCGGGCACCTAGTCCTTCTGATTTACAGAGCTCCGCCCCCAGTTGGTTGATCAGCATGTCCCCGCCCCCTGGGAGGTTTTGGAGGGACTGGCCCCGCCCCCAGGGTGATTTACACTTGCCTCCCGTCTGGGGTTCCCTAAGCCTCCCGGCCCCGCCCCTAGGCCAGCGGTGGACACCCCTACTCCGACCCCCTGTGCCTCAGAGCCGGCCGGAGGGAGCCTGGCCCCACCCGCAGTTCCGCATTCGCAGGTGCAGTCTTGCGCCTCTGGGAACTCAAAGGTCCCCAGACGCCTACAGGCTCAGGCTGAACTTTGCGCCCAGACTTGGGCGACCCATCATTTGAGGACTTGGCCCTCTGCACCGGAACCACGCCCCTTGAGGCTCCAAAGGGGTTCCCAGTTGTTTCCCTCTGCGACCACTCCCAGAATAAATGGTGGCCCCACCCTGTCGGGGCCACCTGAGACGCTCGGGGCAAGGCCGCAGTGGCTGCCAGGCCTCGGTATTCTGCAGCCTCGCCGGGGCTGCGTCTGAGGCCCGGCACCTAGACCCGGGGGCAGTGTTTCTCGGTCAACATTTGATGAATGAAAGAGGCAGTAGGAGCGGCCGGTTCGCGCCCGGCTCCCTAAGGCCAGGAACGGCCTGGCCACGCCTCGGGGGCCCTTAAAGGAGCCGCATCTCACCATTACTTGCCAATCATCGACCTAGTCTGGATGACAAGCACAACTCTCAAGTACTGGGGCCCCACAGTCTTTTCTTCTCCTCTCCCCTTACCCGCCAAAGTGAACAGACAGAGCCCGGGCGCAAACCTTAGCCGTTTTATGTGCGCAGAAGTGGGGTGCCGGTAGGGAGGGCGCGGGGAACCTGACGGCTACAGACCAATGACATCGTCCAGCTCGAGGTCGGCGTTGGGGCGGCAGCGGGCCCTGGGGTGCTGCGCCTCGAGACGCGCGTCCACGTCGGGCTTGGCGGCCGCGGCGCGCTCCGCGTCCATGACTCCCAGCACGGCGTCCAGCATGGAGGGGCCCAGGTCCAGGTGGAAGGACAGCAGCGGGTCGGCGGGAGCCGATGGGCGGGGGGCGGGCGCTGCGGGCTGCGGCACTGCGGCCGGCGTCGCGCTACGTGGGCTCCCCGCGGGCGGAGCGCAGGGTTCGGAGGGTGGTCCGCCGCCGTGGCGGCTCAGGAAGGAGGTGTCCCCGAAGGCGTCGCCGCCACGCCCCACGTGCAGTGTGTGCCGGAAGTCGCCGAGCGGCGCCGAGATGGACAGCGCGCCGCGCTCGGTCCTCTTCTTGGGCTGTGCGGGGCCCACCTGCTTCAGCACCGGCATCTGTGGGGTCACAGGCGGTCAGCGCCGCATCTCTGGGAGCCCTGCCCAGCCCTGCCCCGCAGCCGTGCGGTCCTCGCGAAGGATGCTCTTCGCTAGGACAGGGTGGTGGGGGGGTGATGATTCAGATTTTACAGGTGGGGAAACTGAGGCTCTGAGAGGTCCAAGGTCAGAGATACCTGGACTCAAATCTCAGATTCAGATTTAGGCCTGCCTTACTCCAAAACGCGCAAGGCGCTCTGCTGATTGTCCTGAGAACTGATATTAGAACTTTCCTGTAGGTCAGGCAGAAAGAAGCTCCTCCACATTCCCTGCACAACGCTTCCCAACCTGACAGGTAGAAACTCCAGCTAGATGAGTCTGGAGATTCCCCAGGACCCATCCTTGCAGACAGGCCCTACTTTGTCCACTAGGGAAGGCAGGTTTAGTGTACACACACACACACACACACACACACGCGACACACGAAGAGGCACAAAAGCCATAGCAAGTTCTAACTGGGGAGGTTTGGGGGTTGGGGGATGCTAATATTCGCACAGCGTTTTGTAATTTAAATGATGTGGTTTGAGAGACCATGACCTAACAATACAATCCTCATACTTTGTAAGAAACTAATAATGCGAACCCCTCTTGGGTTAAAAATGGCAGCACGACACATATTTGAAGCCAGCTGCTTGAGAACTGTAGACTAGGTGCACTCTTGCTCTTTGGGATTGGACAGCAAACGGAAGTGCAGCCAGCCTCCGCCATGTCCTGGAACTGGGCAGTTTTTTATGGAACTCCTGGGAAGGACTTTGTTTTCACAGTCACAGTTATTACGATGAAAAGCCTTTGTTGTTGTTTCAATCGAAGCCCTGCCCTTTGCCAACTATATGAATTGAGATCTATTAATCTTTCTGTTTTCCTATCTATAAAGTGGATGAAATAATACTGCTTTCCTTACAGAGCACATAGCAAAGCTCCATTAAATAAAACAATATTTATAATTGTGCCAGCTGTAACTGGGTGCAGCAATGACAGAGGCTGAGGCAGAGGACCCCAAGTTTAAGGCCAGCCTTAGCAACTTAGTCAGACCCTCACCTCAAAATAAATAAATAAAAATGAGAGCTCAGCAGTAGTGCATCCACTGGTTCAATCTCCAGTACTGGGGGGGGGCCCCAGTGGGGAGATGTTAGCCAGTTGGCAGAGCTAGTAGGCTAGTATTGGGGGAAAATGTTTCCCCAAACAAGTGTGAAACAGAGTGTAGAACAAAGATAAGACTTGGTAAAACCGAATGACCAAACAATGCAGCCAACATTGTTTTTAGTGACCAGGATTCTGGGGTATATCAGCAATAGTGTGGAAAAAAGCACAGCAGAAAGAACTTAAAATAGTTTAGATGGATGTATTCTAAGTACTGCCCTACACACACACACACACACGCACACACACACACTTTGCATTTTTTTCCCTCTGGGGAAACCGGTCTTGATTTGCCATCTCCCCAGTATTTATCACATTTCTCCAACCTTAACCTACATGAATAAATACACCTTTATTGTAACCCAGCACGCAACCACTCTTCCCTCCTCCCCTAGAAAAGAAACAAAATCTTTATGAAATAAGGCAGTCCTTACATCATGGTAACTACTCTGATCCATTCTCTTTTAACATTTTATTTTTAAATGATCAACTCATTAAAGGATCTCCGTCCATAATTTAAAGGTCCTCTCTAGGTGCCAAGCAGTGCCCTTTATCTCAGCACTTGGCTCTGCATGAGTTGGGGGTGAAAGGTGGATCAGGAAGCCAGCCACCCGGGGTAGGCTGTGAAGCCCTGGGTAAACTGCTTAGCCTTTCCCACATCGTTTCCTCATCTGGGAAATGGAATGATACGAATATAATACTTCAGAGTCTTTTGGCAAGGATTGGTGAGATGCTGCCAATCCCAATCTGAGCGTAGTAGCAGCACTCAGTGAAATGTTTAAGAAAGGCTGAAGGGAGTCCACCTCGGGTCATTCCCCCAGGTCCCAGAGAAGGAAACCAGCCAGAAGAGGACCCCTGACTTGCCTAAGCTCACAAAGCCAGCTCTGTGGGACTCCAGAGTCCTGCTAGGGCTCCTTCCACTGCCTGCTCCTCTTGAACTCACCACTCCCCTGCAGCTCCCTCTGCCCCCTTTTCAGGGCGCCCGTTGTCCTAGTGCCACACGGGGGCAAGGTAGCTGCCTTCCAGCACCGGGTAGCGCTTTAAGATGGTGGTTTCTGACATCATGCATGCTTGGCTCAGATTGTCATTTCCTTTTGGTGGCATCCTGAACAAGTTCCTCAGCCTAGCCCTGGGTTTACCCTCTGAAAACCAGGCACATCATGAAGCACACTGGCCACACTTGCCTTTTATTTCCAAGGCACTTATTCTAGATCAAGCACTGGTCTAAGTGTTTCACAGGATGAACTAATTCATTTAATCCTCAAAACAACCAACTAGGGGGAGACTGAGATTCTAATGTCCATTTTACAGAAGTGTGATGGCTGCAATACAGAGAGGCTGGGTATCTTGCCCTAGGTCACACAGGAGTAAATGTTGCAGGGCAGATTTGGCGCCCAGGCAGATGAACTCCCGAGTCTAAGGATGATATCATATGCTTATAGCCATGGGGTTGTGCAATTGCCCGGGTTCAGTCTGTACAAACGCCAAGCATGCCCTTGCACCGTTAGATGTATGTGGTTTTCTTTTCTCTTTTTCATTTTAGATGAGGAAAGAGTTTTCCAATGCCACCTATTCTCCTAGCTAGCCCCGGAGACCCTGGGCAAGTCACTCCCTCCTCCCAGCCTGGGTGTCCTCTAGATCAAGGGCTCTAATCGCCCCCTAGCAGGGTTGTAGGGCTTCGGGCGATGAGGTCATGCTTGGAAAAAGTTCGTCACTGGCCACATCTCGTACAGAGGGGCTGTTGTTTGGGACACACCAAACAGGCCCAGAGCAGGCCGCCCAGGGGCTGCAGGCCCTCCACCGGCCGCCCCCTCTTTCCTGCCCCCCGCAGGGCCCGACCCAGCTGCAGGGGTGGAGGGCACCGCCGGCTCACCTCTGCCCAACAGGGCGGAAACCACCGGCTCCGGATCCCGCCGGACTGGTTCTCAGACCCGAGGGAGAGGCGGGAACAGGGGTGCGGCCGGTGGGGGACGGAGCTGAGACCCCGCACTCCGGGATTTCTGCGGGCCTCCCGGGCCTCCGAGGCCACGTGGCTGCTGCCGGGACTTCAGCCACAGCAGCCTCTGGCGGGCTGACCCTCTTCCCTCTAGTCGGGACCCGGGACCCCTGCCCACCATCGCCCCTTACCTCGTGGTTCTTTCTGAGCGGGGCAGGCGACAGCGGGGCTCGGGCTGGGACCCTCCCTGTATCAGAGTCCGCCTCCGCCTCGCCTCCTAGTCCCCCGCCCGCGCTTTCTTCCTTCTTCCTCGGGGCGGGATTTCACCTGGTGGAGGAAGTGTCACACTGAACCTGGAGAGGACTCAGGACCTCGGTGTCGGCTCCCACCTCCTAAGCCCCCCGCCCCCGCCCCCGCAGTCCCAGGTCCAGGAGACCCAGCCCCTGGCTTTCTTATTTCTCCTGTAGGGGAGGGGGCACTCCTCCCTCGGACCCAGGGTCCAGGCCCAGCCTCCTCCCCCAGACCCGGGGATCCAGACCCCAGCCTCCTCCCCCAGACCCAGGGTCCAGGCCCAGCCTCCTCCCTCAGACCCAGGGGTCCAGGCCCAACCTCCTCCCTCAGACCCAGGGTGCAGGCCCAGCCTCCTCCCTCAGACCCAGGGTCCAGGCCCAGTCCTAGCCCACCCTAGCAAGCCCTGGCATAGGCTTTCTTCTTTACCTGCAGGAGAACCGTCAGCCCCTCTCGGGGGCCATGGAAGGAGTCCAAGCAGGAGCCAAGTCACACCTAGTTCTCCGTCTGGCTCTGTTCCTCGTTCCTGGGCAGAGAGGGTTAAGCCACAAGCCCCTCCCAGCGTTCCTTATCCCCAAAAAGTTTGCCTCCAGGATTTAAAGGACGAGGAAGCAGTGGTGCAAGAGCTGAGGCCCCTCCGCTGGCTCTGGGGCAGGAGGCCAGGCCTGGGTGTGCTCTACACGCAGAGGGCTGGGGGTGGATGCGCTGGGCCCTCCCCCTGCCCAGCTTGGAATTTCCTGACACTGGGGAAGTCTGGCTGTTTAGCAGTAATTTAGAGTAATTTCTTCCAGATTGCAGCTGGTGGGGGAGTGCCTGTGTGCAGATTGGGAGAGGGAGAGAGACGGAGAGAGAGTCACTAAGACCAGCAGAAGAATGAAAGGGTCTGCAGAGGGACAGTTTGAGCCCTGCTGTGGGGCACCCCCTAGACAACTGTCCCTGACTGAAGCCACCCTCCATAGAAAGATCATTCCATCACTGTGAGCATCTGTTTATGGTGAAGAGAGTTGGGAGAGCAGAGGTTCCTGGGAGGAAGCAGGCTCAGAGGGAAGCAGGGAGGCCCGTGTGAGAGGCTGGGCCACTGGAGGGGGAAGTGGAGGCCCAGGTGGAGGACAGGGTGGGAGACTGCCCCAGTGGAGAGGTAGGCTGGGCTGAAGTTGGGGGAAAGGAGAGGAGTTGATTTTAGAGCAGGTTCTGACTGCGTATGTCACCTGCTCTGTCCCAGACCTCTGCCCTTCCTGCATTTTCATGCAGGACCAGCCTCTTAATTTGTGAGGTCTAGTACAAAGGACAAGATGGGGCCTATGATCAAAATGATCAGGAAGAATTTCCAATGGGTCAGCATCAATTCCAGCCCCAGACCCTTCTGAGCCGGGGACCCTGGGGACCTCCCAGGGATCACACAGGTCTGTGAGGCTAGCCCTTGAGCGGTGGGGACGGTTAGGAAAGAGACAGGGAGGCCAGAGACCGGGCGACACACAGGGACTCCCACAAGGTGGATTTCAGTTTGCCCTGAGAGGCCAGGCTGAAGGCAGCTGGGAGCTGAGCCTGGGTCCGGGCAGGGTTAGGTGCAGGCATTAGCTCCCTGTGGACCTGAGTGGGGAGGGACGGGAGCAGGCCTGGGCTCAGTACCCTGAGCAAAGTCTTAGGGACAGAGGTGGTCACCAAAAACTCAGTAATGGAGATAAAAACATGAACCTAAATTAGCGATTTTTATTAATGTCAAATTCATATGACATAAAATTCACCAGCTCAGTGGTGAATTACAGTGGCATTTGGTACTTTCACACCCTTGAACAGCCTCCATCTCTGTCTAGATCCAAAACATTCCCTCATGCCAAGGAAACCCTGCTGAGCAGCCACTCCCCCCCCCCCCCCAGCTCCAGAGACCAGTGGTCAGGTTCTGACTGCGTGGGTCACCTATTCTGGTGAGCCTGTGAGGACCTGTGTCAATGGAAGCATGCCTCAGGCAGCCTCAGGTGTCTGGGGTTTGCTGAGTGCTCTCCAGCATCCCGAGCACTGTCCTGCTGCCTGCGGCCTGTTGTTCAGGTACACTAAGCCGGGCACGGTGACAGTCGGAGGCAGGGGAAGCTCTGCTTTGCTCAACCATGAGTCCCACCAACATCTCTCAAGGGTCCCCCTGTTACTTAGAGTCAATGAATTGTGGGTGTTAACCACATCCACAGGCACCTATCCATGGCTACACTGGTGACTGGAGGGTCATCAAGTGGACAACGGAACCAACCATCACCCCAGGATAATATCCCTAATGTCAGGTCCATAACCCAGATCCCACCTGCCAATGGGATGTGACGTGGGACTAATGCAAGGGCATCTTTGGGGGAAGTGTCCTGCCTTCTGCAGGGACCATCAGAAGTTATCCCGATGTACATGGGCACTTCCTGGACATGAGCCCTGAGGTCACCCAGGGTCCCGGGCTCAGAAGGGCCCTGTGCTGGATTTAATGCTCACCCACTTGACATTCTTCCTGATCCTTTCAACATGGACCCCCACCTTGTCCTTTGCAGTGGACCCCACAAATTAATTAGCTGGTCCTGCTTCGAAATGCAGGAGGGCGAGGCCCGGGCCAGAGCAGCGGAGACCAGCAACCCTGGCGAGATAAGAAGAGGAAAGGGACCTTGGACAAGTCCTGGCAGCAGCCAGAGAAGGAGGAGAGCTGCGTCCCAGAAGCCTGGGGAGGAATCAGCATCTCCGAAGCAGGCCAAGTACAGCAAATCTTGGGGTTCAGTGGGGAGATAAGGAAGTGCTGAGGAGAGTGGGCAGACGCAGGAGCCCCCTGAGAGGGGAGGCAAGAACCCTCAGGGAGGAGGGCACTCAAAGGCAGGTCTTTGTTTCTTTGGTTGGACTGGATACATTTGCTGTTATTTTGTTTCCTTTTTTTAAAAAAATGTAACTTGTCATGGCACAAGGATACATGAGCACATCCTCTCCTGGAGAGGGCGGGGCAGCGGGGGGAGAGACAGAAATTTTAAGAAGGCTTCCGAGAGCTCCTCCAAACCAGTCCCCAGCTCTGCATCCCCTACGCTTGGTCTGGGGTGCACATTTCCCCGCTGGGGCATCCGCCCCCGGGCTCCCGGCTGTTTGGGGCTGGGGCTGATCCATTCCTGTGTTAAAGGTTCATCCTGGGCACGGCGGGGTGCTGAGGAGCATTGCTGGGCTCTGTCTAGGGACCCCGGCAGCTCTCTCCCTACACACCTCCCACACTCCCAGTTTGAACAACCCAAGATGTTTCCTGACTGTCTTAGTGCATTTGGGTGCTAAAACAAAAGCCCACAGACTAGGTGGGCTTTTGTTTATGTTACTATAAGCAATGGGATTATATTAATATAAATATTACATTATTATAAACAATGGCATTGTCTGTCACAGTTCTGATAAAAGTTAGGAAGTCCAAGGTCCAACCCCAGCAGATTGGGGTCTGGCAGGGGGGCTGTTCCTGACACAACCTCACCCTCTGGCTGTGTCCTCATGCAGTGGAAGAGGTGAGGGTGCCTCTGGAGTCTCTTATGAAAGTACAGATTCCATTCATGAGGGGAGCCTTCATGACTTAATGTCCCCACATAAGAGAACTTCAGCATAGGGATCCGGGACACACATTCAGACCACAGGCAGTGCCCAGTACCCCCCCTAGGGTGTGAAGACCCCTTGGCTGAGGAGCTCCAATGTAGATTGCACTCAGGAAACATTCCGTGCACTTTGAATACACAAACGGGATCCTACGGGGTACCTTTGGGTCACCCCATTTTCCCATTCATTTTGGGAATCATTCATCATTAGTGCAGACTTAAAGAGAGAAGCTTGCTTCGGTGTAACAAAAGTACGTAACAAAGTAACAATAGCCGGTAATGCTTATTTATGTCTTATTAAAACCTTCCACAGAGGTGGGGAAGGGGTGGGAGCTGATGTCGTCGTCCTCCTCATTTTGCATCTGGGGAAACTGAGACACAGAGGGCGTTGTTTGCTGCTAGCAACTTAGCTAATGCAACTAATTTGTGTGGGTGTGCCGCAGTCTGGCTGGGCACAAAATCATGAGCCACCACACAGCTTGTAGATTCAAACAGCAACTCTTTATTCCCGAACTCACACCGGCACTCTACAAACACGTTCTGGGGAAATCCACGTTCTCTGCCCAAATCCACCCCCACTGGGCTTCTGTCTCCCAAAAAATACTGTCTGAATCCCGTGAGAACTCAAGGGGAACTCAGGCAGCAGGATACGCCCTATTCCCAGCAGGAATAACCTTAAACCTGGATTGTCCTAAACCGGGAACACCCTAAACCCCCTATCCGCTCTGGTCCTTGAGCAAGGTCACCTACATGCAATGTCACTGCAAAATGTCCTATTTCCACGAGTCCTTCCACTAAGCAACATGGGGTACGCTGGCAAGGAAATTGTCATACCTACTTGGCTAATGGCTCCCAGCATCGGTGGACTTGGCAGGCCAGCCAGCTGCCCCTAACAGGGGAGACACACGGGTGGTCAATGCAGAGAGGCGCCGGGGAGCAAGGAAGAACTGGATCCTGTCCCACAGAACTTTCTGGATTGTCATATCACTGGCACTGTCCAAACTCGGTAGCCAAGCGCCCTTCAGATGTGGCTAGTGGGGCTGAGGAACTGAATTTTTTATTTAAATTTCATCTTTTTCCAGTCCCGGGAATTGCACCCAGGGTCTCCTGTATGCCAGGGAAGTGCTCAGCCACGGAGCTGTACCCCAGCCCTTTTTATTCTGCACTTTTGACAGAGGCTCTCACTAACTTGTCCAGGCTGGCTTTGAACTTGCCTCAGCCTCCCGAGTGGCTGAGATTACCAGTGGACATGCCTGGCAATTCAATTTAATTTTAATTGATTCAAATTGGAGTGGTCACTGGTGTCCAGTGGCACCAGTCTTGGCCAGCCCAGGTGTGGAGAACTTGAGGAGGGTTTGGCCAGGGCCAGGGGAGGCCTCCCTAGAAGTGGGCAGGAGAGAGGACAGGAGCCCCAGAGGGCAGGTTTCTGGCCAGCGAACTTGGGGGCAGCTGGTGGGGAGGAAGGGGAAGTTGGGGTCCCCCAGGAGCACTGTGGGGTGTATCTGATGGGCATTGCTTACTATCTCCTGGATATGGTGAGGACCGGAGTCCTCCAAGCCGGGCCTTACCCAAGGCCGCAGTGGCCGCCAGCGCACTTCCACAGCATCTCAGGGGCAGGTGTGCAGGAGGCTGAGCCACCCAGGGGGAGGGCAGGATTTCTAGCCACCAAAAGGACTTTGCAAGATTCCTACCCAGGTGCAGAGAGGAGAGGGGAGGAGGGAGCGAGAGAGGGGACAAAGTTCACCTTCGTGGGGGGGGGGGGGGGGGGAGTGGGCCTCCCAGGCGTCTGCCAAGAGTGTGGGCTCAGTCCTTGCCACTGTGACAAGTCCGGGAGCCACCCCATCATGCCCCGTAGCTTGGACCAGCTCTGTCTGGCTTCCCTCCAGCCCAGCCCCACCAGAGAGAGTCCTTGGAGCA